CAGGACCCTTTTTCGACTATCCTTTTGTAGATTTATTCTCTGGTATAAAGTTTAAGTCATTTCCAATATTATATTTACACTTATTTTACTAGTTTAAAACTTCCCTTTTTTTAAGATAAAGCTTATACCTATATTTAACCATAATGCTATTTATAATCTCAATTTATATCTATCAACTTTTAAGCCATATGCGTTTTATATTAATTTATAGATAATAAGATATATATTTTAAAGCTATATTTAATATGTTATAAGCTAAAGTACATTACAAAATTATAAATATAAAGGAGAATATGGTTCAAAATAATACTGTAAGAATTTAGGAGAACTATAATTGGGACTTGAATAAGTTATCAGTTTACTCCTAATATTACCATTCTCTTACTTTTAGATAAAGCTTAACATCTATCTTAATATAATATCTAAGTTATAACTGTCAGTTCGGTTTGTTAATATTTATACTACAACCTAATTTTAATATAATTTTTGTAATCCTCCTTATATAGATAGAATATGCTAAGTTGAATATAAACTTCCTCTTATTCATACTAAATCTTATCATAAAAGGATAATATAATTATACCATAGAAACCTATTAATAATGTTATATAATAGATAAAGATCATAAAATACTAGGGGTAACATAAATAAGCTTATAAGAGCATTGAGACTAGTTTATTTTTCGAACAACGTTCCTGCTGTGCTGACCTTTTTACCGTTCCGCTGCCTTTTTCTGCTTGTCTTCTTATAACGATATTTTACATTTTGACTTGATATAACATTGGTTTATATACCCAACGCTGGATAATTTCTTGGTAAACTTCAATAATTTTCCCATTTAAAGTTTCAAGGTTTGTAAGATCTTAGTTTTATATAGTGTAGTATCTACAATTTTACTCTCTAAATCCATTAATGTAAGGTAAAGCCTACTATTTACTTTAACATTATACCCTAATTGTTCTATTCCATTGACTTAGCATTATATCCAATAACTCTTTTGATCCACGGTTTTCCACTTATGATACTGGTATTATTGCGACTACCTTTATAATCATGTTTCTTCCCAATCTTTATGAACCGAGCCTTCCACTGATTTGCCACTACATCTGATTGTAATATTTATAAATTTCACTCCCTGACCTTTGCCACCATTCACCTAATAATTTCTATTTTTGATAATCCATCAAGCTAAACCTTTAACATACGTAGTCACCATTTACCATCATATGTCCTTGCCCTTCTTGTTTTTTTTTAACTTTCTCATCCATTTGTATATTATCTTCCTATAAAACCCTCAACAAAACAATCCTTCTATATTACTACCAAACCCTTACTTTATATAATCTATACGTTCCACACATTTTTTCCCAAGAATTTTTTCAGGCAATTCTGGTCGATCGCGACCTGAGGAGGAACTCCGAGTCACAGAGAGATTTATCCATAAAGGGCCATAATATATTAAAGAGCTGGAGGATAACATGAGAACGAAGTTCGACAAAGGTTGAAATAAACCATAACTAAAGTGTGATACAAATAAACCGCAGAGAAAAATGTAAGGGAATGAAGTCAGGGAGACGGTGATAAAAATGTAACGATAATACCTCCCTGCGGTCGGAAATAAAGGTAATGCAACTAACTTAAACCGGAAAAGAAAACAAGAAGAGAACTAGAATACATAATGAATATTTATACGACTATGATAAATATAAGGATATATTTTAGTACCTAAGTACCTGAATAATAATAACAGATTAAAGTTATACTACAAGGTTATAATGGAAAGGAGAAAAAAATCGTCAATTTAATGTTATATAATTAGAGTAAAAAAGGAGAATAAAAGGAAAAGTTAATCAGATGGGAATAAAAGTATCTGATTGGGGCCCCTTATAAAAGGTTTAAACAAGTGTGAGATCCTAAGTTAAAAGTTACTCCCCTTATTAATCTACACAAAGTTCTGTTAGAAAATATTTGAATAATGGTAAACTTACTGAGGGACTTAAACGATAACACAAGACTGAATAAGAGATTATGATTACTTTCTCCTGTTTATTAATTTAAATTTATATCTTTAGAACCTTAATATGTTATTTCTTTATTTTATAGTCTACAAGATTCTTTACTTATAGGTTTTTACTTATTATCTCTCCCTTCCTTATTCTATTTTACATTTCATTCTTTGATACTATCTTTTCTTGGTATTATATTCCCCCTTTTACCTTTATCATTTTTGTAAACTCTGAATCTACAATTTTAATTTATTTTTCCTAATCTTACTTTAAGCTATTACTTATGGTTATATAGTTGCTATCTTCTTATATTTTTTACAAAGTATTATCTATAAATATTAATCTCAATTATTAGTTACAGTTGATATAATAGTAGATTTTGGTAGAATTTAAACCCTTATTATCACTATTATTCTCATAACTATGTTAGTTTCAAGGATATACTTCTATCTTTCTTTAAACAAAATTAATTGAAACCTTATAATATAGCCATTTATATCTACTTTAACTCTTATTCTTATTCCTCATACTTGAATTCTTGCGATTCTTTGCATTATCGTTCCATTTATGGTTTATAGTCCCTTTGTCATCATTCACTTTGTTCATTCTTCATGTTCAGTGTTATGGCTCCCTATCTATATTTATTAGATCTTCATCACTGAAATCATTCTGTGACTCACTGCATTCGTTTTACTCTTTTGTTCGGGGCATGATCGCCCCCATTTTCTACGAAAATGGTTAATAATGTCTAAGAATATAAAGGAGAAAGTATAGGGTATAGAAGGATATATAAAATCTATGATCAAAATAGAGAAGTATAATATCGGAAATAGAAATGGAATATAAAGGTAGGAGAATAAAATATATAAATGATCCTAATTGGTCCAAGATATTATAAGAATTAATATAAATTAGATAATAGTCTTACAATATTAGGTGGAATTAAAGGTTATAGTAAATATATGATAGATGTAGTTATAACTAATAAATGGGAAGGATCCAGAATATTTAAAATAATGATATAGAAAAGAATATGATAAATAGGAAGATAATAAAAGAGAATATATAAAGTAGAAAATATATATACTAATTAGGGGTAATTATAGTATATAATGCCATTATTTAATGTAAGAGATATAATAAACCTCCCTTCGGTCGGAGAATATAAACCATAAATATATAGTAGTATACATGATTATTAACTTATATTATATCTTAATTTATATTATTAGTTACTATGTTTAGATTTAATATTTAGAAAATGATATTATTTCTTAGAAGCTATTGAATTATATCCTGTAAAAGTAAATATTAAGTGATATCTAAGTGGGAATAAAGATCATTGATATACTTAGATTAATATATAGTTATAGATTATTATGATTAGATTTTAGAATAAGAACATATAGCCTAAGTATCAGCAGAGATATATTCTCTATTATGTATATGTACCTCTATAATCTTTTTTATACTTTTATGAGTCTAGTACTATATTAATATATTTATTCTATACCAATATTTAATGAAGTTATAGGAAGATATAATATTATTATTATAAATATTGTCTTAATAATAGAAATATATATTCAATAGAATGATATTGTAGTTAATCTGATTTTATTGAAGTTAATGTAGCTAATCTAAATAATTCAATAAAAATATAATAGAAATATTCTCAAGCAAATATAATAATATAGAAAGATATAGATAGATTCTAATACTAATATATAG